AGGGGGGGAGGGACTGTGTACGTATCGCCGCTGTCAGTGTCACGTCCACCAATCAGCCAGATATAATTGGTTTAATATAAGCGAGCGGGGTAACTTCACAGTGGTTATCAATGTACTTTGAAAATTGTATATAACGTGGATTTAAAATAATTTTTACGAAAAAATTAAAATTCCATTGTCATTCCAATGACAATAATTATATTCGTGTCTGAGGTAGTCACCTTTATATTTATTAAATTTCTCACGGGCAAATTGTTACATTGAATTCTATTTTAGATCTAATCGCGATTGTGTTAGACGAGTCAATGACTTTATTACGTAAGGCTAATTTGACGTGAGGCCCCGATAGACATTAATTTCGTAATGACATTGCCGGTCGCGGGGGATAAGGCGAAGTCGTGAATGTTTGAGAACCACAGGGGATAGATAATAGAGAGGTTCATGCATATGCATACGCGTCTCCCTTGTAGAAGATGTCTCTGTCGAGGAGGCGAAGAAGGAGGAGGAGGTGGTGCAGAGAGAGCGAGAGAGAGAGAGAGAGAGAAGCGGACGCGAATGACGATGCTGATGGTATTATATAGTGACGCTAGTGGATCTACAGGCTGATCGTCATCCTAGGATCATCGCGTTTCGGTTCTCCTTTGGCTTAGCGCTTTCGTTTCGTTTTACGATTTCAAAGCCGGAGCCGCCGCGTGTAACCGATACGCGTTGTTACACTAACACAGCCAGCCTCCCGCACCCATGGCTCAATAATTATTCATAATTAACAAAGGTTGTGTAATAATTAGCCTCGATAATTAGTGGCGCGGTTGGCCAACCCGATGCGTACCTTTGATACCGATAGGACGCCCGGTACTATCACTGGATGATTGATTTATAGCCGTAAACCAGCCATGAACCCGTGAGCTTGTCCACGCGCGTTACCCATTTTTATATTTTTATTTTATACCCTCTCCCCTCGGCATCCCCGACATATTTTTCAAAGATTTTATAAAATTGACAATCGCCTCGTTCCAGGACATCATCAATGCCGGCGTCACCTACAGGAAGATCTACGTGACCGGTAGAGTGATACCTCAACAGAACTGCGTCAATCAGTGAGTACCTATTGGAATATACGTATAATAAGTCAAAGTGAAGGCTATTGCATGTACAGGGCGTTTCATTGAAATTCGTCATTCGACGTCTAAGCCGTTAATGAAAAGTATCGGGAAAGCCGCGAACTTACGGAACGAGTCGATGACAGTCGAAGAGGATCCCCGGGGTTCAGGTTCTGAGCTTGTACGCGCCGGGACGCCTGCGTCGCGGCGTCGACGCTCCTCCTTGCTCGGGAGACGGAGGAGCGTGTTAACCTTTGCACGGCGCCACGCACACGCGTTCCCACTCGCACGGCACGCACACTTCGTCTCTCACGCAACCTCCCTTCGACTCGCATGCAAAACAGGCCCGCGGACTGGCCAGCCGGCTAATTAACTGCAATAAACGTCCGATGATTTACCGAACGCTGAGCATCGTTCGCGAGCTCTCTCTTAGATATTTTCGGTCTGGGTCGGCGTGTCTCTTTCTATTTTCTCTCCTTTCCTTCTCACTCACTCCTTTGATCCTGTTACTTCTCTCTCTCTCTCTCTCTCTCACTCTCAGTCATTCCCACTTCACGTTTCTTTCACCCTCCTCGATCTCGTACGCGGTATGACCGAAAATATTTTCCCATACTCAAAGGACTTTGCCCTCTAAGGGGTACAGACTGTAGTAAATTTCTTTGGCTTTTTCTTTTTATCTTTACGCGAACGTACGAGGATTATTGAGTGCTCGTATAACGAAGTCAAGAAAATCGAAATCATATAGGAAACTCACGGAAATCCTTCTGCACGCGAAAGACCCTTTACGGGTCCCGTTTGAACGCAACAGCCGGGAAGACACGACGGCGGAGGCTGTACGTAAATACGGTGACTTTTACTGCGCCGTCATTGTCGTCTCGTCTTTGCGTTTCAGTCGTAACGATGCGCTCCCTCTTGCCCGCTTACGATCTTCATTCCCTACCGGGAGGTATTGCGTGCCAGTTAGCTCCCACGGGAATACACTTCAATTCCATAGCTATACTCTATATGCAGAATATGCTATATGCTGAATTTTTTTTCTTACGATTTTATCGCATCATAGAAAATTATTATAGAACATTTTCTTACGTCGATCCACTTTTCAAGCAAGAAGAACCTACTTACAATTTATTTCTGTAGAAATAATTCTCTGGCCTTGGCAATCCTGCCAGAAATATAAGGACATCTTTTTTGTCCACGCAGTAAGAAATTCGCCAAGGATTCACGGACTTTGCACGTGAATTCGTATTATTCCCATATAAAATGGCCTTGAGTCAAACTGAGCCCTTAACGGCCGGTAGGTACGAATGTGCGAAAGGCATCTCCTTAATTACTTGTTGATCTCTTTGAGTCCCCGATGGCTCTGTGAGTAACGGCAGAGCCACGTACGTCGTGATTAACTGCATCCTTGATAGGATTGGTTCGGTTAACTCGCCGAAAGGTAAGTAACGGGGTCGGAGGTGAAACTAGGCGCCACTTAATATACTAGATATCCTTGAACTCTCGTGCGCCTATACGTAAACCCACGGCAAAGGTACCTCGGGGCTCTCAGAGCGCATAGAAGCAGTAGGAGGCAATACCGAAGCTAGTAGCATCAGTATTAGATGGTAATACTGTAATGGCAGTGCTAATCGCTACTAATAGCTGCAAGGTTCAGTGAATGTTATTGCCTAGGTCGTATCAATTTCGAAAGGTCTCGCGACTGTCACCGAGGTCATCGTTCTCCATTTATCGTTACCGGGACGGCCTTAAAGATGCATTTTTAATATTACCAAAGAGAGGCGACCATACCGAGGGTCAAGAGTTCACGTAAGCTGCCGAAAACGCCCACGTGCCAACCAATCCAATCACGGGGAAGAAATGAAGTACGTGTAACACGAAACTCTTCCTGTTAGCCATGCACTCTTTCTGTCTGGCTGTTTCATCAATCACAATGGCGTAATGCGCTCTTTGACCGTATCGGATTGCTCCGGAGCTCGCAGTGGTGCATCGCTACGTACAGGCTACGTGGCTCTAACGCGTAGGGAGGACTGGCGCCACTTATCAGATGCATTATAATTGCCAGGAGACTCGTAACTCGGCGCTACCGAATCCTCATTGCTGGCGGTGAAACCTACAGAAGGGACACGGAGTGTTTCGAGGGAAGTTAATCGCGGTCGAATTAAATTGCACGTTATTGCGTAATCAATTTCTAACGTGATTACGTCCTATTTATGACGTATCGAATCAACGGGTACCAGGTCGAAGCTTTCGGCTGGGGCTGCCCATTCGCGTGATTTGACTCTTAATCGACGGAACTCGTATGGATTGATTGCTCGTCTTGTTTCCTAAGCTGAGACGCGGAAGGTATGTTAATCGTGACGTGTTGTGACAACCGTGTCTCGTTCGTTAGCACGAACCTCTTGGCGTGCTGGGCTTTTTTATGCGCCGTTCGACTTTGCATGTTCGAGGAGAATCCCTTGGGCCGAGGAGTACTCGATCATCTTGCTCCTCCTTGGCGTCTTGGTCAGCGTCGAGAACCGGGACTGGGGCCGATTGAATTGTCGTCGTTGGGAACGTCGCTTGATGGTTGTCGCGTGAAATTCTCGACAAATGGACAAATCAATGGTGATAATAATGTGGGATCGGGTTCAAAGAGGTCTGCTGGGATTTCGGTAGATCTGCTCATTTTGGTAGCTCGGTACTGTGCTAATGGGAAAAGTCAGGAAATCGTATTGGGATGCTGGGAGTAATCTTGCCGGTTGACGTACAGTCGTTTCCTATGGGACGCTTACTGGACGCTGGTCATATATTCTGTGCGCGTCTGTGTGTCAGACGAATCTTGTTGATAGCGACGGAGATAAGGATGTCTCTGGGTACATTAAACTTGCACCTCGTGTAACGTGTACTATGGCTAACCAATGATAATCTTGATGATAGCATCTCGTTAGCCTCACGGGCTTTGATTAAGTAATTTTGCATGGAATGTCGTGTTAATTGATACGTTAATTCGTGAAGTGGGGGGGAAGACTAATGCATGATTCGACGTAACGGGGATATAATGTGGCGATGGATTTTTTTCTTTCTTTTTTTTTTTCCTTTGGACGTAAAATAAATGGCTGGTACTCCGGCCGAAAGATATGTTACCGGTGAATTCCTCAAGTTCCATGATCAATTCTCGTCTTGGTCGAAGGATACTTGCTGGCGAGGAATAATACGGTGGACTGCTCTCCCCCAGGGTCGCTGCACGTGGGTGTTTGGCGCCTCACCATGCGACGTCTTTATTCGCCGAGACGTCGAACATAGGTTTTCGCGTGTTCCCTGTCTCGTATTGCAAGACAATGGCCATACATCCTATGGGGCGTAAGGAGACACCGGCAACGAGGAGAATCGGAAGGTGGGACTTGGGTCAAGATCGGTTCTTCGCGAGTCTTGAAGTCGAGAGAGTTTTTCGATGTTCGCCATTGAATTAATTAGCCACGCTTGAAACCCCCATTGGAAATTCTAACCGTTCGCCATGGTGGGAGACTATCTTTTACATTGTTTATTTTAGGTTTTTTACGGGGTGGAGGAGGATTTTCTATGGTTTCACTTCGCGCGAACTATGCGAGTGCGAAATGATAGAATTGCGACACAGCCACTCGGACGCAAAGGTGATCGGGTCCATGGCTCAAAGAGCACGGGTCGAGGTGAACCCATCTCAAATATTTTGACATGAGCTCGTCTGGAGTCTGTAGTCTGGTGGGTCGAGGATGGACCAGGGAGGATGGGAAAGATAAAGAGAAACAGTTGGGACTTGATTGTGGGTGGTAACTCATGTGATGTTTCTCGTATGCATAATGTGCGTTACTTCTTACTTTACGTGCCATCACCTGGAGACCTCGCCTCGAGGAGAGTACGAGGATCATCCTCGCTCCCGAGGATGTCTGGACGTGAGATCCGAAGCATCTCTCAGGACCACCCGGGCCGATCTCTTCATTACGTAAATTTGCGCCGGTTTATTATGCTCTGTCGGTTTGTTCTAACCATGCTCATATCTTGTGTACGCGTTAACGCTGTTTCGATTGGGAGTGCTGAAAGTATCGAAAGATGTTTCAAATTTTATACCAAGTGAATTTTTGGTCCAGTCGGAGGGGATGCAAGATCGTCAAACTAAACTCCTGTTGCTCTTTGCTACTGCTGCTGCTGCTGCTGCTGCTGCTGCTGATCGCTCGAGAGTGTATTCATGGACGCGCGTGGGGCACCGATTGAGAAACAGTCGTTCAAAGTGTTTGCGGAGTACTTCTAAGATCTCTTCAGGGTTCCCAAGTCTGAGCCCGGTGCTTCGTGGTTCGTTCAGCGACTACAGCCGTACAAACAGCGGGAACCATTCACCTACCTACGATCAGGCTGCCAGGCCATGCATTAAACATCCTCAAACACGAGCGATCTTACGTTGCCATTGAACTGCCTCTCAGGAAGCACGAGCCTCACGAGTGATGGACCTTACGGAATAAATTTTTTGACGCGGCCCAGATATATGCCCAGGATCACTCCATGTATCTTGTGGTTGCGCAACCTGCTTCATCTTCTCTTAGTTACAACAAGTGGATCGGCAGTCGACACTGTAGTCTCAGCAAGGAGTTGGTTTAATAACTAAAGAATTCCAAGTAGTCCGAGCATAGTTTCATATGTCTTATTGAAAAATTTTTCCAAAATTTTTGCCCTCGATATTTCCAAAATATTTTTTCATCACATCTGCGAATAACAATGAATCGTTAGTTGACTACAAAATTCTCTTTAAAAAATCGTTGATGTATTTGCCAATTTTTTTTTTTCTTTTTCTTACCCTCATTACTCTTCCACCTCCCTTTGTGACGTAGGACATCCTAGGTGCGCCTTCACTGGTGTTTCTTGCTTTTCGTTGCCTTTGTCTTATCATCGCCATATCAGGTTGTCCAGCAAGACATTGGGGTGCTGGCTGCGAAGGAAGATTAGCTCTGCGTCTTCTATCGACTTGAACTATTTTTAAAGAATTTCATTTCGAATGATTAGAAAAATTTTTTTAAAAATATTAAACCAATCACTCACCAGGTTCCTCAACGTCGTCGTCTTCCATGTCCGAGATATTGTCGACTGAAAGTAAAATTTCCCACGGTATATTTACACGATGGGATATTTCGATCCAGCAATGCCCAAAGCAATTCGGTGAATATTCGTAAGCGCGTCTACGGTGCATAACACGAAATGATTTTCCGATGAAATAAATACCGAAAGTGATAGCCCCCCGAGAGCCTTTACCGGTGAGAGAGCGAACGTGTGAACCAAGCAGAGGGCGTAGGTGCTCGCGCGTATAAAACGGTTCGCAACCTTTGTAAGATTGTATTATGTAAATCGCCGTAATAAAGATGACAAGACGCAGAAAATTCTACGAGGAACATCCTCGCAGTCAGTCTTCCTCGTTGTGTGAGGCCATTATCGGGCGTATATGAGTAAGTTTTAAGAGTCAAGCGCGAATGAGAGTCGAAAGTGTTAAACCGTTGCGACATAAGGGTACGGCATTAGGTTGCGATATTAAAGTCACGCGTCACGAAATTCTCATTGCGACGATAACATCCTCGCATAATGGCGACTATGCCAAATGTTCGCTGGGACCTTGTTTCTCCCCTACTGTTATCAAACTGTTCCTTTTCACGATCGGTACTAAAAATAGATTCTCACAGCTCAGTCGACGACGCGCAATCGCCACTCCTGTCAATTCCGCTAGATCAGGACGATTTCCTACTCCTCGTATAGGTCCTAATCTGCTACGCTCTCTTCTGGAGTATAAGGATCCAGTAGGATCCCTAGGACGTCCCAGTGAATTTGGTGCGGAAACCTCATCATCGTCATACACCAACTGTCTTCGTGCGCCACCGCCGTAAGGATCTAGAGGCTGCCGATTATAGAGTCTTCCTCCTTCGGGTGGGGATCTGAAAAAAAAAAAGTTTGAACAATAACAAATCCATTTTATTTAATTACCATTGAAATACATCTCGTATGACGAATAGGGTACGTTGGGATCTGGTCCTTGACAACCGCAACTCATGATTTTTCAAAAAAAAATTCTAAATTTGACTAATGCTCGAATTTGTTGTGGGTTTACGAAAAAAAATTTGTATTTCAAAAAAATAGTGACGTTCGAAAATTTTGTGTTTGTCAAAGTAATGGCCGGTCGGGTTGCGAGCGCTTGTAAATGCCTGGAAAACAGTAGCGCAACGAGCTGCGCTCGCTCGTACCGTAAATTCTTGGATGATAAAAAAAGAGCATCGCGAGGAAGACGTTATCGCGTCGCGTCCTTTTACGCTGTTCTACATAACGGGCCGCGCGAACGCTTCGTTCAGGCTGAATAATTGCGGGTTCGCGTGCTCAGCGAAACAAAGCCGTTAATCAGCGATCGGGCGCGCGCGCGCGCGCGCGCTCGTACGGGATTCCAGCTCTAGCGATGGGCGCGCGCACACGCACGCGATCGAGGTGTAACGCCGTGCGTTTGCGCGTTTGCGTATTACACGGGTACTGACACACGTAGTAGTAGTTACCGGTGGGCGCCTGCGCACACGTTTCTCGGCCACACACGCCGCGATATTCAAATGAGCCCCATGTATGTCCGACTATCACGCGGCTATAAATGCTGTTCATAGCTCCATGTATCTCTCCCTGTACCTTGGCTTGGGTTTGCCGCTATATTCACACCGGACAATGCCGTACGCGCCTAGGCTGCTTATAATGCCAGTTAATGCCTCGTTCATTCATCGCGTGTTATGCTCAGTGATACGTCTTAACTATCCCCTTTCCATCTTGTTGAGAAAAATAAAAACAGCCAATTTCGTGTTTAATCGATAGGCCGTTTTGTCATTTGACAATAGGTGGGTCAAGGCTGGAATCTCATGTAGAAATTACGTGGAAGATGCATCGTCTGTGCGGATGAGTTAATAACGGCCTTTATGAGTCCAAGGGTGGATTCTGTAGGAGGGTCTCTGAGTCTGCGGAAACGCCTCGGGGGTTGACGTTGTATGTTTTTCCTGGGAAGCCGACTCGCTGATAGATGGTGGGTTTTATAAATATTGATGTTCGATTCACTCTGGGGACTGCCGAGAGTGAGACAATGTATCAGTCTGCGTTAGCCATGCGGTTTCGGATTTGGTTGGTCAGAGGATCAGCCGAGGTGGCGGATTCCCACTGGGCACGGCGCGAACCGTCATGTTCCTACCGACACTTCCCTCTAGCCGCGGTCACGAATCTGTAATTCAAATCCGAGTCAAATTAATTTAACGCTCGTCATTTTTCACTGGGCGCCGTGTGCTGGCCCACCCTTCAGCCACTATTTCGATATTTCATCCTGAAGGTGCTCGCCGGTGCTCACCCTATGGGCTGATTGATACCTTGGCATTTTTTTTTTTTTTTTTTCACTAGCCAACATAGGAATTTTTGAATTCCAACTGCTCGTGTCAGCTCAGTATTTTTATTTCAGTGAAATTCCTATAGAACCCTATTTTTGATTCTGTCATACGTATGAGGGGGTGTATAGGGGGAAGGAATACGTGGATCTGCTACTCGTTAAATACAGTCGATTCGAAGGGATGAAATGAATGCGGCAGTTGGCGCGGGCCCAAACTGGCATTGTGAGAGTCATTATGACCTAAGGGGGCCCCATTTGTAATGGCCACCTTATAGCCAAGCGATATTAGACACGGGAACCAGAAAAGAATGAGTCGGTGAGTGAGTGAAGTGAGTTAGTGGTTATAATCACGTTAGACTAATCGGTGCTGTAGGGGGTTGCGTCGAAGATGAAAGGGATGAGGGCGTTAAAACGGCCTATTAAGGTCTTCGATAGGGCCCCGCACAATCAGGCCCCCCCCCTCCTCTGCACACAATGACTGCCGGCAACTTTTCTCAAGGGGAGTCGGAGTTATATAGGGACCCCCACCTGATCGTCCAGGGGAATGCGAAGAAAAAAGGTTTGAGTTACATCGATTTCTATCAAGATCCTGGATACCGAGTGGAACGATTCCTTCGGAGGATTCCTCTTCCTTGTTCGGATTAGGGACTCCGGAGCACCGTGGGTCTATGCTGCACCGGGGTACCGAAGATGGAATGTCCTGGGGAATGCGAACGGGGATCGCGTCGTGACTCTTCCTGATAATTTATCGAGTAGTCGTAGGTTAATTCGTTAATAAGCCGAGTTATCCCGAAGGAAAGAAAAAGGGATGATGCACGGCACCCATCCGTGAATTATTACGAGGCTGGACCCTCTATCTTTGAATCTGCGAAGAGTCGAGGAAGAGCGGAATGGGAAGCTCCCTCTTCGGGAGGCTCACAAAGGGAGCCGCTAACCTTCCTGGAAACGTTCCCGGGGCCTCGGCGATTCTCTAATCAAATCGTTTAGCGCCGCGACCCCCCCTTTTGGGTCCCACGCGAAAACCGGACTGAAACGACCTGTAGATTGCTCGCGCGTGTGTCTATATACGTCGTAACAGCATTCGGTACAGGGCAGCGCTATCGGGTCGGGTAGGCCTCGTTACCGTGTACTCAAAAGTTGACTGCACGCTCTGCATACCTATTACGTGGAAGGGAAGCCCGAGGAAGGGAAGAAAACAAAGAATGTATGAAATTTAAGAAAAATAAAGGGAGGAAAAGAGATCGAACCGGCGGTTAGCATATTTGAATATTTATTTAGCTGATTATTATTTTATCGATTCGATGGAAATTCGATCGGTCCTTAACCTACCGTCTCCGATACACGGCAGCCGCGTCGATTACCAGCGTCGGGATCGAAATTATTAGCATCGCGAAAATAAATAAGGGTTGACCGACTATAAATTTTCGAAACCCTGGTTATATCACGCCCTGGCGCTAATTCGGCGCTACCGCCCCGCGGACTCGATAAAATGTTAATTTTATTCCTTTACGGCACTTCCTCCATTATCCAACGTTCTACCTCGTAACCGTACCAACTTCGATTTTATTGCCAACCGTGGAAATGAAACTGTGGTTACCACTGATACGCATCTCGGATGTTAAATACATGCTTGTTATATATATATTTTTTTATTTTTGCAGATTCTTCAAAGTGATGGACGACTTCGCCTCTACCGGTGGACCAGGTAAGCACGTCGTTACAGTAAAGTTCAAATACGTAGGTATTTGTGAGATATGATACTTTTTTAGCTTGACTGTACCAGTGGGGCCTTCTTAATTTACTTTTCGTTATGGCGCCCGCAATTTTATGCCGCGCGCGAAGAACGAGTACCCGAGAGCCTCGGGAGGCCCCCTCATTTTTACCCGTGAGATCGCGACTCGGCTTCCGTCCCTGAAAATTTCGTTAGCCATCCTCAGAACGCAGCTCGAGCAACTCGCGTTCAGAGAGCAGAGGTAATCGCCCACGCCATGTACTTGCAGTTGAGCCCGTACGTACATACATGCCCTGTTGTTAATTATCTGCCGCCGTTTATCAACCGGCTAAGAGAAGAAGAAAGTTGCTGCTCGAAGCGCTTCTCATCCTCTCTGCACTTTGTCATACTTCGTTTTGCTTTGACTTCTCCGTAGACTTCCCGTAGCACCCAAGGAGGCCAGCGAGGATCTAGATTTCGTATAGATCCTTCTGAACTTGATCCACGAATACACGCTGCTCATAGGTACCACAGCAGATGGATAAATGAGAACTGTTGAAATAGGACCCAGGAAGCATGATGAAGAAGGTACCCCGGTACACCAGGAACGAGTCTCAGTGACTTGGACGACGCATTCCGAAGCAAAAGGGACCGCTGAGGCCCCATCCATCGGTCCCCACTTAGCTTTTATCAATACCCAATACCCAATGTCGAGTGGGCAACGATTGATTTTTGGGTCCTTTGGGCATTATCATGGATCCACATGCTGCTATCTCTCTGGTGTCTCTCTGCACGTTCAGCCCTGAGGTCGGGACTTTCAATTTCAAAAAACAATAGTCTGTGTCCCATAAGATAGGAATAGACACGCACCTGATGGATCTTTGATTTATTAATTTTTCTCGACTACACTTTGTCTAATTTCCTAGGAGTCACATAGACGCACCAGCATGGTGGGTGGTGTAGATATTAAGATAATTTCTATAGTCAACCCGATCGCACTGTCAGTTTCTCACGTATGGCGGCTACCAACTAGCATCGTTCCTTCAGAATCACCAGAGGCTATTTGAACCCATCCTTGCATATATATCATATTACCACATTAACCACGTCCCTTCGGGATACTCCCGTGACTACTCTGGTAGCACGAAAAACCATGCGCGTAGGGAGTGGCACAGAATCATAGCCCGAAGCCACCGCTCTCTTAGTCCTCCGTCGTATTCACTTTGAGCTACCAAAAAATCATGAGATCATTTGGACCGGTGTTATACGTATCATCCATATATAATACCTACCCATGTTACCTAACAACAATTTCTCGAAGATGAACGTGTCTATTCTCCAAATGTATTACTGCCGATCGTAGCACGTCCTACCACCCATACAGTGGATCAATGGATTTTGAGATACGATCGATGATCTTGTCTTTGATGGAGCCGCGTGATCGACAGTGATACGTACCGGCCTGGACATAATTGTTTGTACCTTAGAACCACGAGTACTTTACGTAACCCAGCCCACCTTGGTCGAGTCTCTTAAGTATTGCCATTCGGCGTATAATTGTAACACCTTTACAAGGGAGTCTGCCAAGAAAAATTTTGAATTTCCCGCCTACCCAGAGCTCTTGACGTATTCCAGGTCATCGCTGGTCCATCAACGGATTCTGGATCGATCAGACCCTGGTCCATGTACGTGGATTGTAACGATACATTGGACATCAGTTTTGCCGCTGTTGTACTACCGTTGACTGATGTTTGATTTGAGCTTAGTAACGGCAGGGGGTCTTCAGGTACCCCGAACTTCTAACAATGAGTTCAGACCGAGTCCGTATATCTTACGTCTTCACGTATCTTGGTTTAGTACGTGCATATGGGTATATCGGATTATGTATATGGAGCCAGAGACAAAGGTTGACTTTTAAAGCGGCTACTTTTCGTCTAGCCTGTACTCTCGGTTTCGAGTATACGTATAAAATCAATCCGGCGAAACGATCCCATAACGATCTCGCGATCCATTTAAAGATTTTATCTAAGTTGGGCAGTTTGCGAATGTGCGCGCCGGGGTGCACGCTCCAGATTCGCATTAGATGGCGACGTGTTCCTGGAATAAGATCTCTCAGTTGTCTCCTACTAGGCGTATAAGTTACTCAGCATGCAAACTCGGCCGAGATGACCTCGTGGAAGATAACGCGCAGGAAGGAATGAGCTGAGGTTGCGCCCCGGTCGAATGAGCAAACCGGAGCAACTCGGATTACCTTCTCGTTTTTAGGCGCGACCTCGTGTCCTTCGTCCTTATGATATACAGAGCTCTTGAATTATACCACTTTTTGGCGAACCCGAACGATCTTCGCCATTTCGGACTCGAGCAGGGCGACTCTTTAATCTGACAAACTTTCCCTTCGGCTGGCTTCAAAATACGCGTCAGAAGTTACCTTGTTAGGACACGAGTCAGAAAGGCGTATCGAGGAATTCTCTCACGAGACGTCTGAAGTAAGCAGTGCCGTGGACATTCTCAAGCATACTGGGTCTTAAAGACGTCATTTGTAAACTGGCAATTTTGATCGATCGATCGAAAGAAGTTTATCTCTCGTCGAAGGATTTTTCGAGTTTTCTATACCTGTCACGAGTGCGAGAGAGACGGACTTATGAGCCTTCGCACGAGTAAGACAAAGACAGACATACCGATCAGCAAAATTCAAGGTAGACCCCTCTATAGAATTTGCTCTCCTATATCCCAGTTTAAATTTTCGAACTATACGTGATATTGGCTTGTTTCAATCGTGATCCCTAATTTCTTCTTTTCAATTAATATTCATCTTGAATACGTAATTTTAATACCTTATTTACCGAAGTACGGTAGCCTCAAAAGTACAGAGTCCCTTACGCACGTGCTTCTTCCCCATTAAAGCTACACTTTCCTCGTAGAAGGCATGCGGCCCGTACCATGACGTCGTGACTGGCTCGTATGTACCAGGGTCGCGAGGTTCCTCGTGAATTCGTCGCAGCTTTTTGCCGGCAATTTGCGATAATATTATAATCAGCCCCTTGCTGGGTTCGGCGCGGGCCACGGCGCACGCTCGGAGGATTAAATTGATGATCCATGGAATCGTGATACTCGCGATGCTTTTATTTCGCGGTTCCACGGTGTATACTCGGAGAGCTATAAAAATTCCTTATAAGGTTGTACCACGAGGATTCGAGCCATTGGTCGATATACGACAATGATCGGTACCGACAGAGAGGAGTGACTTTTGCCAGTATATTACGCAAGAACGCTTAACCTCACTCTTTTGTATTTTATTCTATCGCGGTCCAGAGGCTCCCGAGCAATTTGTCTTGTTCGGTCGGGCACTCCTTGTGTCTTTTTCTTCCTTTCTTGTTCCCCCTTTTCTTCGTCTCTCTCGTCTCCCCTTTTTTCACTCTTTTTATTAACTGCGCTCCCGCCGATACACGAACGGCACCGTGTACCATCGGTACGGAGAGTCTCTTCGGGAACGATGGGTACAAATCACTATCGATCTGTTGCCAAATTAACCAGGTGATTGATCATGGGTTATCGGGGAAAGGAAGGAGGAGACATTGAGAAAGTTAGTTGGCTGTAAAACTCCTTTTGATACTTTGCATTATTTTCTTACAGGACTGTACGACGAGGTTGCTTAATGAAAATTGTCGTACGATCATTGTAACATTTAGTTGATACATATCTTTTTTTTTTTTCAATCGTTTGCTCCGATAGTTTACGTTTCCGATAAGAGACGAACGTTCGTGAAACTTTGTTATCGATCTTACCGAGAAATAATTTTCTTTATGTTACAGATGATCTCATAGGAGTCCATTGTACTCATGGGGTCAATCGCACCGGATATATGATCTGCCGGTAAGTCATTCGGTTCTTATTGTGTATATATGTAGAATAGGCAGTATCATGAGTTAGTCCGGTCATCGGTACACTGATCGTTACTGAGTATAGTATACAGGTCTAATTAGCTAATTGTATTTATAGTCGAGTTGGGAATTCTTGTTGAATTCTCGTACGTGAAGTGGCATTCTTTTGAGGGGAGAAACGAATTTTGGTCGTAAACGAAGTTTCGTTATTTTCCTCTCGACGTTATAGGAAGTCACTTTGTCGCTTTACGTATTTCGATAGAAATCTAATTCGTTTTTTCGTAGAGCCTTCGAGCACGCAAACTCCACGTTCTCTTATTTCCTTTCTTTTCTCTTTTTTATTATAGATATCTCGTGCAGCAATTAGGCTGGGAGTACCAGGACGCACTTAAAGGTAATGGCATTAAGAGATTGTATTAAAAATTTGTATACCTCGGAGAGATCCAATTTCTTTTGGATCGGTTTGACAATCCAAACGTATCGCTTGCGAAAAGATAAATCTTCACGATCTTAAGTCATCTTCACTACAGATATCCGAGACGAGTGTTTGCGTACAACCCATAAAGATTAATCAGCTCGGTTTTCTCTCGTCGGTATTCTAAATCCAAGTGAAATCTACACCGCTGATAATTACTAAGCCATGACGCAAAGCATCGGTAGATACCCATAATTCAGAAAGATAAAATCAGTATCCAAAAAGGCGGCGCCTACACCATAGAGAGACAATACGGAGTTACCAGGTTTAATTAGGATTGGTAGATGGGAAAATGGGATTTTATTGCTACCCCCTGAACGCTGCCTTTAATACCATCATTCTAGACGGCCCTGACCTAATCTCGGCTAATGTGGCCAGAAGTTATATTACCGACGGCTCAAACGATTTCGACGCGAGTTAAGAGGCACGTTAACCCATGTCTTTTCTGTCCAAGTAAATTTCTCACTTCCCATACGTACCGCGTATCACGCGAGCCAAACGATTTCTCGATGATAAAGGTCAAAATGAAAATTCCTGAGTCTCTCGCTTCGACCGTCGCTCTGCGACATTATCAATTATACCGGCCGAATACCAGGATCCACTCCCACGCGATTCCACGACTTTATACCAGTTAATTCTTTAGCCTCGTAATCCATTCGCGGGGGGCGACGATCGACGATCAAGGGCTGCTCCGTCGATATTTCACGCAGGGCCGCCTCGTAAAGCAGGGCGTTTAGTGTCACCACCGTATGTAAATATGATACTCCGTTAGCGCGCCCCGTACGAGATGGGAGTTACAGCATCCAGACGGCTGTAGCTTATATCTTCTTTCCTCCACTTACCCGACCCTGGCATCCGATCGCTGGTATTAATGCCACTTTAAAACGCTAAGTAATACTTCTTAGCCCGAAGCTCCTCGTATATTTTACACGAGCGTTTACACGTACTCGTAAGCACACCAAGGCTCGTTTCTCGCGTCTTCGGCTTTTGATATACATTGAAATCGACGACCACCCTGTTCACCCTTCTTGTACAGCCAAGGCTATCGAGCTTTTCTCACGGTTACTTATATTCCACAGGGTATACAGAGTGACTCTGAATCCATCCATGCGAAATTTTTTTTGTTGAACTTGTATTGATCTGTTTTTTTAGCTTTCCAAGAGGCACGCGGTTATCCGATCGAACGCGAGAATTACGTGGAGAGCCTGAAACAGGTACCCAGGGGCGAGAAGATAGACACGAGCCACGTGGTGTTAGTAGAGAGACGTAATCGTAATGTTGTCGGGAAGAAAGGATCGAAAAGGGAAAGAAAGAGAAAGCCGAACACGTCCAGTGCATCTCGGGAGTCTTGGAGAAGCGCTCCAACGTCTTATCAGTCATCCAGACGAGGATTCCCTGAAGGTTCGTCGTATCAGCAGCCATATCCGTTCGATGGTGCTGAGTTTGGACTCTTTGCACCCATGATGCCGCCGTTACCACCACCATCCTTGTCAGCGGTACCGTCGCTACCACCGCCAAGGATCAGACACAGATCCAGACCATCTCGATACGGAGCCTATTGTCCATCACCTGGTCCACACAATCCGCCAGCCATCCTACCGCCAATGCCACCGCCCGGACCTTCGTATCATTGCACGAATTATCATCCGAGACATTCGACTTTGAGGGTGTCAGGACCTCCCAGGCTAATTAGACCACCCTCTCAACCATCCACGTCACTGGGCTCTTACTCTTCGATCGTTAAATATAATCGTGCGAGGAACGACGGTTCCTCCGTACCTTTTGACAGCGCTGTCAGGCGTCCTGTCAATCGTACGAAATTGCGTAACAGGCCCAACGACCAGGACTTCACAGTCGACACGTTCGAGGAGAACCTAACGGCGACCCTGCCGCCGAATAAATGGATCAGAGGTTGTTCGGCGGCGAAGAAATGACGTCAACCTAATTAGGGTGTTAAGGACAATGACATAACAAAGGCGGACCATGTCCCATTCGTATCGATAAATTGGGATACGCATGGACGAGGCGACTCCAGAAGACCTGGAGGACGTTCTAGTAAAGTTAATCAAATATCTTGTAATCTGAGGTCTACACGTGTTACCTTTCTTCAAAAATTCCTATAACTCATTAATCCAGCGAGACTGTTCGTACGAGCTAATAAATATATCAAGCTTATTTGTATATTCTTCGTGGCTCTTGAAACGTTCTAGAGCCGCATGCGCTGTCCTTGCAGGAGAGAAAGTACGGAACGAGATGATCCCACCGATTTACCAGGAGACCTTACCAGATGATTATCATTCATGAATTTCACCTACTTACCAATTCGACTAATTGAATAAGTGTCCCGATACCTAATTCGTCTTCGATACCGAAGTACTTGGAAATCTGGCTCCAGTTGCGCTGTACGCAATTAGGGGTACACGTGCCCATGATCAAGATAGGATCGCGCATCGTGGCTGGGATCTTCTCATGGCGCACGAGTCGATATAAATCAGGGAATAATTGACGGCAACGTGATACCAGTACAGTTCCATTTCGTGTGGAGATCAATTTCTCCAAGTCCTACCGAACGAGAGATTCCTTAGGGTTTCGATGCCATCCAGAAGGAGGGACGGAGGATCTATGGGCTCCCCGATCTTTTTGGTAGCCAGGAGGGGACGGTATTCGAAAATTTTTTTTTTTATATGGGATCTTACGTATACCTGCATCACTGGGTACTCAAGGGTATGTATGTCGATCGGGGTCACTTTTTTGCCACGTCTTTCCCGCGAGGCTTCTCGATGATTTCTATGATTTCCAAGATGAGACTCCGTAAGGCTGTGTAACGAGCCTATAATGCATTCGGTGTACAGATGTAATTGGCCTCACGGGGAAAGCTGAAAGAACGGACAGTCGTGTGTCTCGTGTCTCGTCGAGATATTAAAGTGATTCAATATTCGGCCCCGGTCAAAGGTCACGCGTGTAGGAGGGACACGTCTCTCGCGCGCCTGCCCATATATCACAAACTGCCGTTGGCGTGCGTGGAATAATTCTTTAAGAAATTGCACTGCCACGCCATAGCGAGAGGAGATACTGCGCGCGTACGTTATACTTGTGTATATGCGAGGAGTACGCGTGAGGCGTATGGGGAATAATCGATAGGTAATCGATAAGTAAAAATTAAATTTTTTTATTTGACATTTATTAACTCAACTCATTCGTACAGCGCGAAAGTTTGGCAACCGTTAATTTTCGAGTATATAAGGTAAAGTATCTAGGCTCCTTATCTACGAAGTGTTGATTAATACGTAATATTAATTTAGATGGTAATTTGTTGGGTAATAAATACCTGGATGCGTGCGTATTATGCGCGCGCCGGTGATATATGGCAACACGTAGCGACACACGCACGGCATCACGCATGCTTAGAATTCTAATCAGGTATCGAGTCTCCGTAGTCGTCAGGCAGAATGTGGATTCTCCTTCAATTACCAAAAGACTCGATCTTGTTTACTGGAGGATTTCGGACAGAATTCACTTTTGAGAAGTCGTCATCGTTCCACGTGTCGTCCTATCTTAATCTATCGCGGCTTTACGAGCTACGCGTATATACGTATATACTGGGTGAAAAAAAAAAAAAAATACACAGAGTGAAAAAAAGAAGTAAGAAAATCTTCAATACTTATCTCCCTCGCGTATCATACGTTTGGTCTTATGTTTAAGTACAGACTCTTTCGACCTACAAGACCCCCGTAGCCGAGGACGCCGCGTTGTCGAATAACGACATACTGCTTTTTCGATTTATGCGAATACCCGGTACAGTTGTACAGTCGAAAGGACCTTGATGGCGCGGATGCGAATTCTCAAGATCCTCGTGCCGAGTCGTGATATCCTCTCTTGAAGTATCTTATCGAAGGCGGATAATCCTAAAAGTCGAAGGAGGATTTCATTCGATCGGGCACCGTATAGAGGCTGTCTGGATTGCGAGTATCGCTGCAGATGAGGAACGCTGCAGGCGTGTTTACATGAGTCGTCCAAAGGATAAGAGGATTCGAATGCGAATGCGAATTCGGGAGTGAAATGGCAGTTGGTTGAGTGTCAGAGTGAAGATTTGAGGACGTATTGAAAATAAAGAGATGCTACGCGCACGCGGAGCGAGGGTGAGGTAAGATGGGTATAGGTTTGGCTAGGTCGATATAGGTATACGTGCTATACCCAGTGCCGGGAAAGTCGAGACTGGGAAAGTTTCGATGGCCAGAAAGGAAAGATCGTTGTCCTTACTAGCGGTACGGGTTCACAGAGACAATCCGAAAGTTACTTCTGCTCCAGGTTTTTCGGAGGCTTGGGAATAATCGTCCGGGAATCGAATGCGGTTGGCATTCTGGTCGTCTATGGATTTTGGTCAACTGTTTTACAACAGAGCCTTGGACTTCGGACTCGGTACCTATCTCAGCTAGACATTAGATTTATCGACATATTTTCTCAGTCTTTTGAGACTTTATTTACTTTTATACAACGACTTCTTTTGCCCCCCTCTCGTGTTTCGGGTTTATTGGTCCCCGGTCGATGCATCTGCGGTCGAGCCACGGGACCCGGGGAGATAGGAGCGAGATGCGCGGATGAACGAGAGGAAGAGCGAGGCAAGGGGAAACGAGGAAAGCCTACGTCGAATTGTCTGTAAGCTTAACAGGACGAAAGTTCGATTAGAACGTTCTGGGCCGGTGTAATCCTCGAAAAAATTATGAGACAGTGGAACCGACCCTGTTGCGTTAATTGTCACCAGGTATAGAAAATAAATTTCCGCTGATTAGGTTAAACGTGAAAATCGTGTGCGTCAAGTCAATCGAAACGAGCGGACGTAGATGTCGCCGTTGTCGCTCGTGCAAAACTCTTCTGGATCCTCAGAACAAGTGACAGGCCCACTCGACTGGGACATTTAACTTTTCAAATAATTTTTAAAAAGCTCCTCCAGGCACAAACAAGCTCATAAAGTTCAACCCAATTCCACGCTTCTCCACCTATCGTCAATTCCTCCGGGAAGCTTAGCTAAGCTCGGATCTGTATTAAACTGGTCCAGAGGTGTGACGTTACCTAGGAATAAATAATCGTACAAATATCAAAGAATTCAGGTTTTACACTCTTTTATTTTATAATAGACATTTTTTTTACTTCTTTTAAAAAATATTTCCAACGTCCGCTAGACAGTCTATTGAACGTAAAGACCCGTGTAAACGACTACCATAATTCTTTAGGAGTCTTCGACTCCCTCCAGAGGAACAGTAATTAGTCCCGATTAATTCCTCAAAAATGAGGAACGCGTGGTGCCCACTGCGGTAGGTAGGATTCTAAGCTCGAATAATGGCGGCCATAGGCTAACCGCATAACAAGGCATGTTGGGCATCATGCTCTTTTTCAGGCATACAAGCCTAAAGTACTAATACGATACGTGGTGCACTTTAATGCCACAGTTCGGCCTACTTAGCGTAGCAGCTTGATTAACATGGAGTGATTAATAGTCGCTCCCTCCGTTCGTACCAACCCCACGGGCTTCGAAGATCTAATCGCACGATATTTATTACCTGCGCGTCCTCCACCTTCGGGCGAGTCTCGAATAGGTTTTGCACGTTTTTTGCACGGTCGCAAGCCGGTCCACGAATCCTTCGGGTTCGCCATCTCGACAGAGAGTCCCGAGGCACTCTCCTTGTACACGGTACACTTAACGAAGCTATAGTTAATGAACGAAAGGATAACCCAACTATAGTCTTGACTACTACCGTACGCAAGGGACATTTTTACCTATTTTATAGTCCATCACTTTTTTTTTTGTTTTTTATCATTATCGTCATTATCATTGCGTCATTAGTATCGTTACAGGTAACACTCAAACGGACGTCATTAGTACGTTACTTTGTATCTAAAGGCATATACCAAAAGTACCGTCTCTTAATATCGAAAGCCAATTTGATTTTTCTACGTTTTAGGTAATTTCTTCCTTTCTAACCTTCACGCCTTTTAACGCACGTTAAACCTGCACGCCGTTCGTTACGCGCTATCCTAATCCTAGGTTATGCTCGCGTTTAGTCTAGAGCTTACCTAATAGGCGATTTCTAAGGTGCCCCGCGGACGTAGGAATGCGCCCGTAAAAGACGAACCTGAAATAAAAAGAAAGGCTCCTGCAGCATGGCCCCCTTATTTTTACGTATACGGTAAATCCAGGATGACGGCGCATTAGCGTCCGCGCAAAAGACGTATCGTCCCTCGTTACTTCCCTCTTACGTGTTGCGTCAGCGTTACGTTGGCGCCGGATTCGTCTAACCCCGACCTTTAAGGTCGTTTCACATGCTAGATACACTCTAAGCACGCCGGTTGGCTGAGGATTCGCGTGATCTTCACGTGCCTGCAATTTCTGACTCTCCGTGGGTAGTCCGAGCTTGTAAATGGTTTTTCGGGGAATTACCTGTTTCTAGGTAATTTTTATGCTCAGTACTTATTCCCTAGACAAATAACTATTGGCTGTGCACTTCAAACGAATTTACCTGGTACGGTACCAGGAAGCTCGACTTTAACGATCCATTCGGAAACGTTTGCGAAGCATTCGCAAGCGACAAATAACAACGCAACAATGCCCATTGACGCACGGAGCCTAGCTGACGTAGAAAATCCAGCAATAAGCAACTGCTAATGGTCCAGGAATATGATTATTTTCAAATTAACCTCAAAAGTTGATTCAAGGGTTCATTGTTTTGGGTCAACAACCAATCGGTACCGATGAGTGTTCGTGCGCGGTGCAGGAACTTCGGCAAGACGTGGATGAACGAGGACCGAAGGAAGCGTACTGTAGCTCATGGGAAGCATGGGCCCAGAGTGAAAAGACGTCTAAGGCCCAAACTAGCCGCAGTCAAAATGCCGTAACTGATTAAACAAGCCTCTTAATTTAATAGACGCTCGTCCACTCGGGGTATTGCAGGTGTCAAATTCGTTCTCTCGGCTAGTCCTTGAGAAACACCAAAGAGGAGCATTATTGGGTCTGTTGGATAAGGCCCAAAGTTTTTGATGATGCCATTACCGTGCCTCAATGGATCCAATGGATTGGATTGGCATTAGTGGTACTTGCTGGAATCACATGGAATCTATAGTCATTGTGTCTCGAGTAGTAATCTTGACATTAGCTTCCTCGAGTGTTCCAGGTGATGTAGTACTCT